TGTTTTTTTGAAAAAAAATATTGATAATTTTGATAGAATGTAAATGATTAAATAAATTTATTAACAATGAATATTCAGTGAATATTCAGTGAATATTCACTGAATATCTGAATATTTTAATTATTCACCAAATGATTATCCGAATATTAAATTTAATTGATTGAATGAATATAAAATGAATGAATATTCAGTGGGTACAACCTCTAGATTGAACACAAAAAACACTACAATGAGCTTTTTAAAGACCTTGCGATCAATGAAGACGTCAAAGCTGGAAAAATTTGCCCGAGTCAATACCTTGTGTTAACTTTCGATTTTGCTGGTCTTAATCGCTCTCATACTTCCAAGTCGCAGTGATTGCACTTAACGATATGATTAACAATGCGATCAAGCGATTTTATTTGACATATGCATCATATTTGGGTGACAAATCGAGTGAGCAACTAACACAAGATTTTATCAAACCTGACAATGCTATTTCTAGTCTTGAGAACTGTGTTCGGATCGTTCAGGAAACATTTGGGTCCACCAACAATGTGAAGGGAATCTATCTTCTGGTTGATGAATACGATGCTTTCAGCAATGAATACTTGGATCTGAATGATTTTAGTGCCTGGAATGAATTCCAATCATTGTTAAAAGGTTTCTGGGCACGGGTGAAAGCATGCATGACAACAAATGAGATCAGTAGGTGTTTCATCACTGGTGTTTCTCCGCTTTCAATGGCCGATTTTACCAGTGGTTTCAATATCATCACCAATGTCACATACAAGAAAAGTCTCTCTGGATTGTGTGGCTTTACTAATGAAGATGTGCTCGAGGCCCTGTGGTTACCAATGATGTGTGGATCAGAGGAAACCGAGGTTCAAAGACATTTCGAAATCATGAAAAAGCGGTTTGGCAACTACCGTTTCTCTCAATATGGCGATGTTCCATCTGTTTTCAATACCAATGCATGTCTCGAGTATCTTCAATGTATACATGAAAGAGAAATTCCACCAGATCATCCTTCCAATTCAGAAGTATCTGAACGACTGCTTTGTGTGTTTGCCTCCTCTTGTGTTGCCACAAGTATTTTTGAGCAGATCTCTGCTGATTCTTGGTGTGCTCAGATTCCATATGAACAATTTCGAGACATGTTTAGTCTTTCGAACCTGAATAAAGATATCACCGGAAGTAGATCAGCGTGGTTGAGCTTTGTGCTTCATGTCGGAGGTCTCACTTTTGCTAAAAAAACACCTGAAAAGCTGCTGCAGATCCCTAATCTCATGGTTGCTCAACATTTTGTTGAAGCTGTTCTCAACCATTACAAGCTCAATGTTGATGATATTGTGAAAGCTCTGCAGCAGGTTGTATCAACTGGTGATATCTCGGTTCTCTTGGGTTACTACAGACGTTTGGTGAGTGAGCGTGATGTTGGTGATGACGACCTTCACTAGTCGAAAAAGGACAGTTCGGAACAAAATCAGTGAAAGATCGGGCATCTGATTTTCTACCGATTTTTACCTATTGTAAGAACAGTTACGATTTTCTTATAT